TACACTTGCTAAGCCCCACTTATTTTTCTTAATTTTGGATTAGATAGGTGGGGGTTGTCTTATACATGGGAGGGTCTTATACACGAAAAAATATGGTACTTTGTGCTTTATAGAATGGAAAAGGGCCAAGGTAAAAGCTCATAGGCTAGACAGTCTGATAGCAAACGTCATTTGGATAAGATTTTTACCATCTGCTTTGAAAGCGACACTTAGATTCCTAAGGTTTACCTGCTTTTCTTTTATGGGTCCCTCTCGCAGGAAGATCTGTTTGTGTTTGGAAATGGAAAATGTCTTGTAGTATTCCACAAGCTTATTTAAGGATTGGAACATCTCACTCCACAAGAAGTAGTTTCCGTTGGTGTCATTCATCACTTTGAAGTGCTGAACATCTTCTTCATGTCTGACCAAAAAGAAGAGGAAAACAAAACAAACAAAAATTACAATAGCACTGAATTTCTATCTGTTTTGTATCCTGTACTAACAATATGAAAATGCCCTCTGTGTGGGCCAACACAATCCAGAACAGGATGGAGTTTTAAAACAATGCTTTAAATTCCTGACATTTGGGGCTGCGGCATTTTTCATATAATTTGTAACTGGACGACTACTTTTAGTTAGCTTGTTTGTTAAAAAAAATAATAGCCAATATCCTCTCCCTCCATCTTTGAGCCACAGTACTTTCTTAAAACCTCTCTGCTGCTACTAATGCCCCCATTAGAATCCCCCCAGTTCCCCTTTCCCTCTGCAAATAGTGGAATTGGAGAAAGGTTGGCATTTAAAATACTTTGGAAGTTTATACGAAGAACATACAGGCTGTGTGCATGTCAATCTGGCATGGGAACTTCCTGAGATCTGGTGGCCACACAGCCGCCCCCCCCCCAATCCCACTAGACCTTGGAGGGCTTTTCCTGCCTCCATTCACACTCCATTGCGCTCTCCAATTCCCCAAATTAAAACAAAATGTTCTCTCTTTAGTCAAAAGGAGCCTTTTGACCCTCTAGAAAGAACGGGAGGCAAACCTCCACAAGCTACCCAAAGCCTAAAAGAAACCTTGTTTCCCCCAACACGTCACTTTCAATGTTAAAAATAGCTCTGTGGGCTTCAAACAGCTTGGTGGTGTTGGAGGAACATGGTGAAATTCTCCTTGGGCCACCAAAAGGGCACAGAACCAATTTCTTTCTTTCTTTTATCAGATGTGAGGGACATGGGGATGCTGGAAAACTACATATGGGACCCTAGGGGCCACATTTACCAGTAGCTCACACAACTCTATATAAAGTATCTTTATAAACTGCATATAAATGGTTTATTAAGCTGAAGAAGCAATCTTTAAACCTTTAAGCTGTGATCAGCGACTAGGTAGTGACGTCTTGGCCTCTTTTATTCTACTTATAGAATGCAATGTAACAGAAGTCAATTCAAACCAAAGGCCAGTGTACAGTGTACATAAGCATGAGCATCGGTCCTGCTACAAATAGCACGCTCCACACCTGGCCTGACAAAGAAAGTTGGAGGATGAACCACTGACCTTTTGCATAATCGTACTAGTAAAAGGTCAGAACGGAAATCATTTTCTCAGTTTCTGTGTTGCCAAACAGGAGATAAGCTCCTTTCTCTTTAACCTGCATCCTTTATTCCAGGCTCATCAGGTACTTAGGATAGCCTCTGATCATCCTTTCTTTTCTTACACTCAGGTTATTTTAAAGGACTTTGGAACAGAAGTTGAAGGATCTGCTTTGAAGTAAGTAAAGAAATACTGTACATATTTCAGTTTAAACAACCTATCACTTGTCCTGGTCATCAGAGTCCACTTTTACCCAAAGGGCATTGCTAGGTTTGTTGCTAGTAACAAAAGAGGATGTTTTGTGGAAGGACACCGGATTTGGCTAGGCAGCTAACAGTCAGACATGGTATAAGATGGCTTCGTAGGTTTAGAAGATACTAGCTGTGCTGCAGTTAGGATATTTTAAGCTCTGAATTTAGTGGACTTCCAAGAGCTTCCTCTGCTTCCAACAATAATATGTATTGCTTCAAATTGTGAAACACTGAAAGAACAGTTCTCTCCCTACTATCAATTGTTCCATGCTCTGCAACTGGAGGAAAGCACACCAGCTTGCAGTGAGCTCTAAATATAGGGTTGTTGTTGTTGAAACTAGCTGCCACTTAGGCCAGTGCTCTGCATTACCTTTTCTGCAGCTTCTGAGTAGGGTGAGTGAAATTGCTTGTGCCTGAATGGCCACTGTGAGCTGAACACATTGAAACTGTTTGCTGTGCTCTGGCAGCAGGCTTGTCCTTCGACTGTGCAGTGCAACTTGGCAGCTACACGCTGTGGAAATGTAGCTGGCAGGAAACACTGTGTTCAGCTGAGTTTCCTGAAAAGGACAGTGGGGGATGAAAGTGCCCCCCCCAACGCACAAAGCCATGTTTGATGGTAACCAAAACATGATCCTGGAATTAATCAATGAATCATTCAGAAGATGGAACCAGAATTTAAGAAGTTAATTTTGGGGGGACTGCGCTTCCCAGGGCTGTGGTGGTGCTGCAGGTTAAACCGCAGAAGCCTCTGTGCTGCAGGGTCAGAAGACCAGCAGTTGTAAGATCGAATCTGTGTAACGGAGTGAGCTCCCTTCGCTTGTCCCAGCTCTTGCCAATCTAGTACTTTGAAAGCATGTAAATGCAAGTAGATAAATAAGTAGCACCACAGTGGGAAGGAAATGGTGTTCTGTGTCTAGTTGCACTGGCCACATGATCACGGAAACTGTATTCGGACAAATGTTGGCTCTACGACTTGGACACAGGGAGGAGCACCGCGCCCTAGAGTTGGACACGATTGGACTAAATGTCAAGGGGAACCTTTACCTTGCACTTCCAAGAATCCTGCAGGTTGGATATTTTTGGGAGTTACAGTTCAAAAATCAACTTTCTTACCCTCTAGTTTTAATTTACCATGGAGCTAAAATGTATTACCTCTGGCTTGAATTGAAATAATTGGCTTCTATTCAAGTGTTGACAATGCTGAGATACCTGTGGTCTCATCAACATTGGTTTGTGATTAGCCAGAGTGCTTACTTCACACACCAATGTAAGTTTCACTTACATTTAAATTAACAAAACTGTCAAAATCTGTATTTACTCAGTGGTCACACGCCCCTATTCCCATCAAGCAACCTTGAATATTCAGATTTACCCATGTACGATAACATGATAACATACACATGAGAAGGATTAAACTTTATATGATAAAAGACTTAATGGCCTTTAAGGTACTAGAAAATATCAGTGCTTTTCCAGTCATAGATGAACACTTCCAAGGGCTTGTCTATAGAGCTCAATTGGAGTGAGCTAGATTGGGCTAGAAAGAGTCACATAAGGTTGGGTAGCTGTCTGGTATTGCATTCGGTATGATCCTTGCATGCAAATGGCATACACACCTGAAACAGCCCTGTTTGGTCCACCTTCTTTAAGAAAACAAAACAGGAAAAAAACCTCCTTGCGCCTCCTCCTTTTTCTGGGGGAATTTTTCAATTTTTTTTTTATTTCTAAGCAGTATATCACATCAGTGCTATCTTAATAGACTTTTGAAAAACAAACTTTTGCTAACACAGGATTCAAAGAATTCACAGGAATGCTAACATATATTTCTGAGGCAGAGGTCAGAGTCTATCAAAGAAGAAAACTTTTATGCCCATGAGATATTACAGAAAACTGGGCTATGTACTATGCTGAAATGCCTTGATCTCTGTTGAAACCCTTAAAAGTGCACTGGAACTTGTTTATATAGCCAAATAGAAGTTTATAACTACTAATACACAACAGGCAACACAGCATGGAGACAAAGACAGGAACAAGGCCCTGTCACAAATCTAGATGTCATTTGTGCTCTCATAGGAATACTTGAAGCACCACCAAGGACTCAACATCAGGGAGGTACATGTTCATCCTCTAATATGACTTATGTCATCTTCTGTCAACAGTGCCTCTCTGCTTCATACATAGGATAAACAAGACAATCTCTGTGAAAAATAATGGGCTCGAATCTGACATCAAAGATGGCAACAGAGAGGAAACAGTTTCGGAACACTTAAACCTCCTAGGATACTATCATACGCTTCTCAAAATGGTTATTGTAGAGAAAAGGAATTACAAAGGGAGACTTAAGGAAACAACAGAGGCTGGCCACATAAGTAAGTTCCAGTGCACCTCTGAGGGCCCCAATACAAATTGAGTTGTTTTAGTGCACTACATTTATTAATAGCCCAACTTTCTGTAATATTCCATATATGATGAAAAACAGTTGTCTCCCTTAACAGATTCAGAGCTCTGCCTCAGAAACATCTCTCAGTATTCCTGTGAGAGCCAAGTCTATCACCCTGGTTGAGCCCCTTTTGACTGCTGGTCTTCTGACCCTGCAGCACAGGCTTCTGCGGTTTAGCCTGCAGCGCCACCACGTCCCTTATTGAAGTAATTAACAGTTCAATAGTCCCATTTCTTGTTAGTGAACCATTGTCACATCCTCTTTTATCTGTAGCCTACCTGGTCATAAGTTGTGCTCAAATACAGAGAACATAGTACTCACATTCTTTGTGTTTGAGGATATGTGTTTTGATCTATGAAATCTCACCCTGAAACAAAACTTTCTGCCTTTAAAGTGCTACAGTATTTTGCCTCCTCTCCCTTTTGTTTTGCAAACATGTTATGATACAAACATGTTACGACCATTTCGAGTTACAACCAGCTTTGGCTGCAAAAAAATTTTTCTACTTGCAACCCGAGCTTCCACTTATGAACAGAAAAAGGCAGGGGAAAAGGGCAGGAAATTCAAATTTCTAACTGTAGGTGGTGATTGGTTGTTTCTTTGTAGCTCTTTTGCCTCAGCAGTTAGAGCAGGGGTCGTCAACCCCCGGTCCGCGGCCCATTGCCGGTCCGTGGCTTGAGGCCGACCGGGCCGTGAAGGCAGACCTCCCACCCCCCCACGCACTCCCCGCCCCTCAGCTGCTTTGCGCGCCCCTGTGTCAGCGCCAGCGTGAGCCTAACTCACCCCTTCAAGTAAGCCCTTGAGTACCCAAGGCAGCTGTGGGGAGGGGAGTGATGTTTCTGTGCTGTGATGGGTCTTGAGGGGTTTCTTTAGGTTTTTTGGGGGGGTTCCCCCCACATTTACATTGGGTCTTGAGTGGTTTTGTTGCTTTTTGGAGTGTTTTTTCCCATTTGCAATGGGTTTTGGGGGGTTGTTTGTTTTTTGGTTTCCCCCCATTTCAGATGGGTCTTGGGGGGTTTGTTTCTTTTTTTGCTCCCCCCAATTTATGATGGGTCTTGGGGGTTTGGTTGCTTTTTTGGGGGGGTTCCCCATTTCCGATGGGTCCTGCATGCTTCCTTTGCTTTTCCCTTTGTTTTCTTTGCATTTCTGACCTGCCCCCTTTGTTATTTGTGCATTTCCAATCTGCTCTGCTTGTTTTCTGTGTATTTCCAATGGAAAATACATGCCTGATTGCTTTTCTCCCCCCCACCCCCGGCCGGAAGGGATTAATTGCATTTCCATTGAGTCTTGCAGTGTTTTTCCCCCCTTTGGTTAATTTTTTCTTCGGCCGGAACGGATTAATTCCATTTCAGTGCATTTCTATGGGAAATGGTGCTTCAACTTACAACCATTTCGAGTTACGTCCATCTTCTGGAACGGATTATGGTCGTAAATCGAGGCACCACTGTAAATCACCCTTTGGAAGCAGGTGGAAGAAACGAATAGAAAATGAACAAGCATCTCATACAAGCAAAAGATAAAAAGTCAAATTGCTGTAAGATGGCTGAAAAGTGTTTCCAAGCAACATTCTTTCTTTAAAAACAAATAAAAACAAAACAAAACAGGAAAACCAGAAATTACAGATACCTGACGGAGATAGAAAAGACACCTGAGGAATTCTGACTAGCTCGAACGATGAAAGAGCCAACATTTTTGTCCTTCAGCATACTCTCAGCCTTGTGACGGGACACATCTTCATGGAACCAGCTGAAATGTGCAACAGAAATTAATGAGGTGAAGGCAGGAAAAAGAAGTGATCAGGAGAAATTAGAGAAAATTTACAAACAGGATGGGAGATAAGGAAAAAAGGTACAACAGGAGGACTCATTCTGTAACAGTATAATCCAGTGCTTGCAAAATCTGCTTTTTTGGACAACAAATCCCACAGATCTTTCAGCCAGCAAATCACCGAAAAAGTTATCTTTGAAAGCTCTGGGACATTTGCTAAGAAACAACAGATTAAAAATCCCCTCACCCCACACACCTAGTTTTAATGTTCAACATGAACTTCTTGCACAAAAGTGAATGAGTACAATCAAAATCTGTAGTATTACTGCAGCTCAAAATGGAAGATGGAGGTTTGCTGTTCAGAGTGTCAAATGCAATGCCCCTGTGTGTACATATATATATCAGATTGTTAGAAGAAACATTTAGTGCTTTGTGTGAGGACTAATAAATCATATAGCTCAGATGACTTACAGAGATTATCACACATCATGGAAATGTAGAAATCAATGGCATAAACAATTCTAAAATAAAATAAATAAAGTCGCCTAGAGTGGCCTTTTAGGCCAGATGAGCTGGGTATAAATCAAACAAACAAACAAACAAACAAACAAACAAACTTGAGGCCTGCATTATTATTTTTTTTTAAATTTCACGGCTCAGCTGCCAGCAGATGGAATGATTCTACACAGACTGGTTTTTCTTTTCCATCCAGCAGAGGTCAGTGGTGCGACATTGTATGCATTGCTCCTTCATACCTGTTCCAGGTCAATTATATGCAAATAATCATTTAGAAACTTTGAATTGCCAGCTAGCTTGTCTGCTGAAGTCAAGCTGCCAATGTAGGACAACATTTCCCACATATGGTGAAGAGAACTTTAGTCCATTAAAGTTTATGCCATAATATATGTGCTGGTCTTTCAGGTATCATCTTCAAGGCATGTGTTTTCTGTTACAGCCTAGCAATCTCAGACATAAAGCTTTCAAATGGGCTAAAGTTTTGTTTGGTTATTGGTTTGGATCCAGACTTAGAACATGTCAGTCAAATCAACAAAGCATAAGTTAGTCATAACTAATATATCTACTGTCGATTTAAGTGAACCTGTTCAAACTATGAGTGCCAGTATCCACTGTTTCTTTAAAAGTTATTGGAAGATCAGTTTTTAAAAAAAAAAAAAAATTATATCTGTACAAAAACCACATCCAACTCTAGTATTTATATACTTGCTCAGAAAAGTAGCTGGTCTTGTATTGCATGTCAGACAAGAGTTCTCACATAACTGCTCAGGTTGCTAACTTCTTCCTGGCTACTTGCAGATGTTTGAATATTCTATATCTTTCTTTCTCTGTTTTTCTCTCTTTTGTAGTGATTGGCCTCAATTTTTGCATGGGTCATATGACTGCAATAAAAATTTATTATAGTAACAAGCTCCAATTACTACAAATAAAACAGTCCAGGAGGCTGACAGTATTTAGAATAATAAAATACAATAAAATTACAAAATATAATACAACATAGTATGATACAATAGTATAAATATTTTTCAGCCGTATTACTGCATTTGTATTCCTTTCCTTCAAGACAGTTAAAACTTCTACTCTCTCTTTCCTGTCATTTTATCTTCAGAAAAACTCTGTGTAGTATGTTAGGCTGGGAAATAGTGGGCTATTTTAGGCAAAGTTTTTATAATATTATGCTGTTTTATGCACTCTTTATATGATGTCATGTTCATATTTGCAGGCTGAAATTAAGTTCATTTGCAGGCTGAAATTAAGTTCATTTTGTTGTATAGCTTCCTTTAATGAGAAAAATCTGTTTTCTCCTTTTATGCTTGTTACGAGCTAAATGAAATATTTCCTTATTTATTTATTTATTTATTTATTTATTTAATTCAATTTCTACCATGTCCCCCTAGACAGCGTCTACTCGGGGCGGCTTACAAATATCATAAAATATCATTAAATACAATAAAACATCACAAAATATAGAATCTTCCAATTGCTTTGGGAGTGGAGCTGGCATATAGGGAAGTTGAGAGCATTTTTTAGGGGGCCATGCCCCCTTGGTTTCTACTGGGCTATCCTCACTCTACCCTCGGCCATTCTCACATCTGGCATGTGAGAAAGAATCCTTTGTGTGCACCAGTGTTGGTGCTTGAGAGCTCCTTTATGCAAGGATGGATCCTAATTGGCACAAGACCCTCCCTTACAGGGAGGAACTCTGTGTACACATCAGCTTTCTCATTTGCCAAATGAGTGGGCGATTGTGGCATGGCTGGGCCAGACATCAATGGAATCGGAGCATAGTTTCTCAGATATGAATCTTCTCCACCTCTCACAGCATATGAGCTGCTTCTGTGAATAATCCTTATGTAAGCCAAGGAATGTGGCCCCTTGCATCTTCTGGCTTCACAAGGAATTCTTCCAAAGAGATTAGACTATTCTGCATGGCCTTGGATCCAGCACAGTTCTGTGGATGTTCCCATGTCCTAGTACTGTATTTATTTCTCAGATGTGTCAAGAAATTTGCCATAGCGTTGCCCTCATTTTTTTTCAGCACTTCTTGTGAAACAATTTCTTAAACATGCACACTGAAGATAGGACACTTTGAAAATTGACAAAATGTCTAATTGTACTTACCTGGGAATGTGAAACTCTATGAAATTCTTCGGGACATATCCTTCATTACCCCTCAGCTCAGCCTTGTACCAGTTTTCCTGAGAGCTTAAGATCTATACATGAAAGGAAATATGACATTGGTTTAAAGGACATATGGGGCTTATAGTCGCCTAGACTTAAAATCTGAGACCTTCAGTTCACTCCCCAGTGTTAGTCATTGTCAGCTTGCCTACAAATATCTGTGCTAAATTTGAGCCATTTTCTGAAAATAATTCAGTTCTCTCAGAGAAATCCTTGAAATCTGTGCGCGTATGTTCTGCTATTGAGATGTCTGCGCCTAGTACATGTAGTGTGAAGATTGCTGGTACAGCCCTGCAGCCACTTAACTGTCTGAATGGCCCTTTACGTATTTAACATGTGAAGGAGACTGAAGTTTTCTAACGTAAACAAATAGTTCCAACAAAAGAAAGAAAAATTCCAAAACCAGAAATATGAAGAGGACAATAAGGACATGTCTTCATAACATTGTAACTAGAGCTTAGCCAAATTGTGAGCCAGGTTTGGAAAAACACGTGAGTGGTTAATTTGTCTAGCTGAATTAATTGACTGGGGACGATGGTGGTATGGTTCCCCCCCCCTCTAAAATATTGTTTTAAAGGAAGAGATGGGGAAACATGTGGTCTGTAAACCACATACAGCCAGCTACACCTTACTTCCCAATCTATTAGGTTTCACCCCAACTCCTGCCCTTCTCTAGAGCCTCATTTCCCCCTGATTCTCAGGTGCTTCCCTAGATAAACTAACCAGTTCAGGAGGAATAAGATTGTGGGTTATCTTCTCCACAATCTCCCACCACCACACAGTACAACTGACTCAGGCAAACACCTGTGCAGTAGAGCAAGTAAAGTTGCGGAGAGGGGGAGGGAGAGCTAACAGTGCAAGATCAATAAATTCCTGCTCTCCCTCCAAACTTGCTACATTTTCTTAACAATTTCTTAAACACATGAGCACATTTGTATTTCTTTAAAAACATTATCACAATATAATTTCTTAAATGTTCTGAAACTCTCTTCTAAGAAAAGGGAGTTATGGGTATAGGGAGGCAAAGAAGTGGACACGGAAAGAGAAAGAAAGAGAGGGGGAAAGAAGGCAAGGACAATAAGAGGAGAAGGAAGCGGAAGGGAAGATAGAATAAGTGAAAAAGTGAAAGAAGGAGGGGAAGAAAGAGAGAAGATGAGAAGGTTTCATCTTAACAACTTGTTATTTAAGGGCTTGCCCCATGACATCACAAGGACTTGCCGCAGGTCTCATGTTTTGGCCATGAATTCTCAGGGAAAGGGATGTTGCCAACCTGGCACCCTTGTTCGCATGATGTACTAAGAACCCTGCACTAAGAGAGGCAACAAATTCTTTCAGGAGCCACATATATACATATACACTTAACATGCATAGGAACCTTTTCAAAGATTCCCCAACTGCACAGGACCAGTGATCAGTCTACACCAAGGATGTGTGTGCACAGGAACTGCTTTATATCTATCATCAGCACCTCACATGACAAACAAGAACAATCCTACACAAATGCTCAATATGGATCCAGCTCTATTTAAGGCCAGGGCAGCTTGGGAGTCTTTGAAGAGTGGCAGTAGTTAGTAGCACTACCTCCATTAAGTAGTGATGTAGCTTTAACAATTTCAGTGTCCACTTATAACATTATTTCAGTCCCACCAGATAACACAACTGCAGATTTCCTCTTTATATGGCTGCTATCAATCAGTCAGATAAGAAATGATTCCACATTCTTGCTGTGGAGATGCTTAAAAGAAGACTGGTAGAGAGCAGAGGGCATGCTTGTTTGTCCTGCAGAACCTATGTAAAGGCGCCAACTTGACTAGCATCCTCCCTTATTAACCTAATAATTAATCTAGCATGCCAAATAGTAAAAGATTAGGACTTCAAAGGGAAAGAATGCAATCAGAAGGAAAAGGAAACAAAGAAATATAATTTGGAATGACGCTCTTTTGGGATTGTGAGTTACTTGTAACAGCAGTTTTTGCCAAATAGCAGGGAAGTGGTGAGCTAAAAGTGATTTCCAGAGAACTAGAAATACAAAAAGAAAGGGAGGTATTAGATGAAGTGCTTGTTAGTTTTGTGCAAATTCCTGCAGATTTGCTCTGATGGCAAAGGGATCTGGAATGCACATTTCTAATATGCATTTGATAAAGGAGTTCTGTTCCAAAGATTCCACAGAGGGTTTAAGAAGGTTTGTGTGAGATGTTTAATGGGTAGCTTCGTTTTTAGTGATCTATATCAGTGAAATACAAATCTTTCAATTTATCCAGAGGGATGGAGGAGAGTCAGACATTTTAGATATATGCAACAATGTGCAGGCATGTTTAATGTATGCATAAAAGAGCATTTGTATGTAACTGAGAATATGCTACCACAGGCCATTCCTCCATTTGAGATAAGCCCTGAGATGCTATGCATGTTGAAATGAAGAAAAAAAAGGTCCTACAAATTCTAGTGGGATTTATGCTCAAGTTAAGTATGCAGAGAGCTTGTGTAGTGAATAAAGTATCTGACTTAAAAGACCTGGGTTTGAATCCCTACTCAGCCATGGAAAACTATGGGATATGTTTGTGCGTGGCAATGTCAAACCATCCCCTGAACATCTCACATACTTAAAAAACTATCAGAGTCACGTAAGTTGGAATTGACTTTATAGCACACAATAGCTCAAGTATGCAGAAGATTTCATTTTTACTTGTATGACCTAGAACAGAGTCAAAGTTATGAAACTGAAAATGCTTCAGTGTGTCGGTTGGGGTAGTGGTGGATAGAAATAATATAGAATAATAATGTAAAATCACAGCAGTTATGAAATTGGATTATCATATATATGATGATATTGTCACCACAAATATAACTATATCAACAATGGTAGCTACATATACCAGTGACTGATTCTGAAGATCCTTTGTACAGAAGTACGGTAACTCCCTTCTCCTCAATCAGTACTCAAATGAGGACAATGCTAAACTTAGTTTATCTTCCACTTTTACTGTGATCTTATTGTAATGGTGTATTGTTGTTGTTGTTGTTTAGTCGTGTCTTCGTGACCCCATGGACCAGAGCACGCCAGGCCCTGGTCCATGGTTTATGGCTCAATATAAATAAATGACTCTATGGTACTGAACACAACCTCTGTTTATTTGTTTATTGCTTGATGCATAGTATCTAGGCTTTCAGAGAAACAAACTTATTCTCATGTATGAAGAATTATCTTGCTTTTTAGAAAGCGGGTTTACTGTGGAGAGATAGGTTTTCTCCTGTAGTGGGCCTCACTCTTCCTGCCTCTTTAATCTCTACATCAATACAGTGCAGTGTACTGCCTTTCAAAAACAACTCCTGTGCTCCAGCTCTGTATGCACATGTTTTGTTGTGTAAGAAAAGTATTTTATGTTTATTATGATACTATTGCATATAGATACCAAGAACGCTCAGTGGAAGACAGGAGGGCCTGGTGTTCTCTGGTCCATGGGGTCACGAAGAGTTGGACACAACTAAACGACTAAACAACAACACCAAGAACACCAGGAAATAAGACTTTTTCCTATATTGTGTACTTGTCCCCTTACAAATACCTCTTTGATTATTTGCAATTGCATAATGTTATTTTGGCAGATGCAACCTGAATTTTGAGCAGTTAACTTTTAGTTTTTTTGTTCAGTTTTGAAATGTACAATGGAAGCTTGGAATATGAAGGAGGTACTGCAACCTGACAATTATCTTTCTTCCACAAATGCAATTCAAGTTGATTGATTTGTAGAATGGATGGTTAATACAATTACATTGATCAGAACTTAATATGGTTAACAGAAAATACTTTGGTAAACCTTTAGTTGACAGACTTACCTTTAGAACATCACCAGCATGGAAACTCAGTTCATCTTCTCCTGATGCGCTGAAGTCAAACTTTGCAATGGCTTCCATGCTGTCTTTTGTGTGACAGGGTAAACTGGAACGAATTGGATAGTGTTCAAAGCTTCTTTTAGAAAACTGTTCATGAAAAAATTCTTTCTTCCTTATTCCTTAGCTTATTTTGTCTGGACATGCACTGAAAATATTTTTCTATTCTGCTGCCAGCCATTTGTGCAGGCTGATCTTCTAGTTCTACATGTGGAGGCTATTGTGTAACATTAGTATGGTGTTGCTGTAATCTTAAGTCAACCTCTCTAGCACACTCAACAGTCCAATAGGCAAAGAAACAAAAACTAAGTACTGTACAGCAATAATGACAGTCCTACAAGTTTGCCTGAAAAATCTGCTGTCACCAAACCAGTCAGTATATTAGACAATATCCTCAGCCAGGCACCAATCAACCCAATCAGCATAGAGCAGCCTCTCCCAGTCTCATGCTTTTCAAATGTGTTAGATTGGAACTCCCATCATGCCTACCCAGCATAATCATTGTATCTATGCATCTGGAGAAAAATGGACAAACAGCTCCAACCCAGCACACCCCGTAACCTCTTACATTGGGTGGCGTGAATAACAATTCTGCATGGAGAAGCCATTGGATTCCCAAATGAAGGGGTTGAAACTTGCTAAAGGAGCAATGCCTTTACTTAGAAAATTTCCATAATAATAAGCATACTCCAGTTTCAAAATGGTCTTCACAGGCAGCTTTATAGGTGGCCTTGATTCTGCATTATAATAGACTCATTACTGGTTACAAGGAAAGAATAGTCAAATCACATTCTGCGGCAGATGAAGTAGTTGAAGGAGCATCTGAAGCTAGGAAAAGGCAGTTCTGACTACAGTATAAATGAGGATTTGATACACTGGCATTAAAAAATTAAAGAGAAATATAAGTAAAAACAAACCAAGGGTTCTCCATCTTCACAAATGTCAAAACTGGAACTCTTGAAGGTGCGTGTATTGAATAATGCCATTCTGCTGACACAAGTTTTTGGATTTTTTTGCACACCTGTTTCTAGGCTAAGCCCAAGAAAAAAATCCAACCCTGTTGTGCACAGTTCTACAGTCCATTGCAAATCTAGTTACACAAGCAGCAGAGTGCCTGACTGATCAGGACAACAAATGTGCTACCTGTTGTGCAGCTGAAAACACCACTGGCACGCCATTAGCACACTATTTTTCTTCATTAATGTTAGGTGGTATTTGTATAGGGTATCAAAGACAGAGATTTATACAGTACAGTTGAAGAAGACATCAATGTGTATAGCCGTATATATTTTACTAGTAATTGTATGTTTGTTATGTTATATGCCATCAAGTCAAAACTGTCTTATAGTAACCCTAATAGGGCTTTCAAGTGGAGATTTAAGATTTTACCAGTGTCCCCCACCCCAGTGCCTGATTTCTAATCCATCACTCTTATGCACTACACTACACTGCATACCTAATTACATATTTAACTTCTAACAATGTGTTCAGCAAGATCAAATGTATAGATCGGAAACATGTATCACATAATAAAGCAAAGCAAAGCGTGCTGCTTATATACCGCCCCATAGCGCTTCAAGCACTCTCTGGGCGGTTTACAAGTTAATTATACAGGCTACACATTGCCCCCCTCCCCAGCAAGCTGGGTACTCATTTTACCGACCTTGGAAGGACAGAAGACTGAGTCAACCTTGAGCCAGCTACCTGGGATTGAACCCCAGGTTGTGAGCAAAGTTTAACCACTGCGCCATGAGGCTCTTGTCAAAAGGCTGATATCAGCCAGCAGCTAATAGCACTGCAGACTTTTATGATTGCAAAAGTTGCTGCCAGGACAGGGGTAGAAAGCTTTTCTTACCATTTCCTGCTAGCAAGGCTGTGATATGATCTGAAAGGACTATCAGTGCAACAGTCCCTCTACCACAGTCAGTTCCTTTTCCCTGCTGATGGCACTAAAAGCGATACAGGAAATAGCTCAGTTTATGGTGTGTGACCGGCTGCATGCTGTATGAGCAGCTTAAAACAGGGTCTTCATTAAAATGTGGCCCCTTTGTTATCACATTGTGATCACATTTTGTAATTGTACTGTTGGTTAAGTGCTTCCCCAAATGGGCAAATGTTTTGCAATAAAGTACAGTTGGTTAGAGTTCCTCCTGAACAGGACTGGGACTTATCAGTGTTCATATCTCCAGTATTCATGGCTATATTTTGTCTGGGAGGCTCTAACTGAGAAATGTACTCTGTGTAGTGTAGTGCTAAGTTCTGGCCTCAGCAACAAAGCCCATTCAGATTAATACAACCTGCCAAGAATGACCAAAACAGGACAGAAGGCAGAGGAAAGGGAAGGAACTCATTGAATTGGGCCTTGTGTTACCTGGTCAGTTGGACATCTTCCCCCGGAAGGGACAGGAGTGAATGAGGTACTTTTTGCCTGTGCCTGGACAAGCTCAAACTCATTTCTGTCTTGTGTTTTTATAGGAACATCTGCCTTACACTTCATTAGACGTTAGTCCAACTAATTTAGTACTTTCAACTCTATAGGAGCTCTATAGCAGTGGTCCCCAACCTTGGGCCTCCAGATATTCTTGGACTTCACCTCCCAGAATCCTTCACCACCACCTCTGCAGGCCAGGATTTTTGGGAGTTGAAATCCAAGAACATCTGGAGGCCCAAGGTTAGGGACCACTGCTATAGAGCTCCTATAGAGTTGAAAGTACTAAGTACTTGAATCCTGCTCTATAGGATTCAAGATGGGGTTCTTTCCTAGTGCTGTTTGGAGAGTCCAGGTTTTCCCTGGTGGTATTCTATTTGGGTCCCCTTCATGGATTGCTGCCTTGTCGTGGTGAAGGGGCTTGAGTAACTCAGAGAAGCTATGGGCTATGCCGTGCAGGGCCACTCAAGATGGACAGGTCATAGTGGAGAGTTCTGACTAAACGCAATCCACCTGGAGTAGGAACTGGCAATGCCACTCCAGTATCTTTGCCAAAAAAGCCCCATGATCAGAAACAAAAGGCTAAACGTTATGACGCTGGAAGTGGGGCCCCTCAGGTCGAAAGGCGTCCCACATGCTACTGAGGAAGAGCGGTGTACAAGTAGCTCCAGAGCTAATGAAGTGGTTGTACCAAAGCGGAAAGGACGCTCAGCTGTGGACGTGCCTGGATGTGAAAGGAAGGTCCAATGCTGCAAAGAAAAATACTGCATAGGAACCTGGAATGTAAGATCTATGAACCTTGGGAAGCTGGAGGTGGTCAAACAGGAGATGACAAGAATAAACATCAACATCCTGGGCATCAGTGAACTAAAATGGACAGGAATGGGCGAATTCAGCTCAGATGATTATCATATCTACTATTGTGGGCAAGAATCCCATAGAAGGAATGGAGTAGCC